TGCAGCTTGTGAAGGAGCTAGGTTAATGCCTTAAGTACCTACAGTGATGGGAACAGGGGCTTAATAAAACATTCCCACCATGTGCGTCCCATTCTGTCCATAAGGATATAGTAAGCTGTCAGTTTAAGAAGTTTCTCTCGGAAACTAGTTGTTTCATAACTGCCTTGTTCCCATGAGTACAATTTCTCATACTTGGTAGTTATACACAGGGGCATCAAACTAGAGAATTCACCACATCCTCATGGGTCCTAGATGTAGAATATAATTTAGCCAGTCTTAGCCAGAGGGGGAAAAAAAGAAGAAGAAAAAAAAAAGAAATTGACAGAGTAAGTAAAGCAGAGAATGTCTGTGTTAATGGCTTCAGGATGGATCCTTCTCCATGCTAGGTAAATGTTCAAAAACCGATCTCAGATAAAGCTTCTAGATTTTATGAACAATTTTTTCTGTCTCCATTGGCTAGCGGTGGCCACGGGCTGTTGTTTCCTGTGGCTTTTCTAGAGGACAGAGTGAGAAAAGCCCCAGGTAGTGATTCGGTAGCCCAGGGTCTTTTGTGAAAATCCTTACTCCCCCCATGTTCCTCTCCCTCTGGTGCTCAGAAAGAACTTAGTGAGCAGTAGGATGAACTAGGGTTGGTTTCTCCCTTTTGCTTTGCTCTGCTCTCCCCTTCCTGTCTTTTTTTTTTTTTTTCGTTCTTTCTTCCTCCTTTTTGCTCTTCCCTCTTCATCTGTCTTCCCCCATCTCTTTCCTTTTCTCTCTCTTCACATCTGCTCAATTTCTCTCTCTTTTTCTCTGCCCCCCTCCCCTTTTTAGGATTATTTTAAGCCCAAATCAGTATCCTGCAGTTCCTCTGTCAATACAGAAGGCAACACTGACAGTAGCAGTAAAATGGATGGAATAAGTGCTCCTTAACTGCCTAAGAATGGCTTATTAACTTCTGCTGAGGCACTATCTATGTCTGTTTTAAATCTCATTGAGAAGCTGATGTTGATCCCACACTTCCTTCATTACAAGATACAATAAAGAGTTGTTAGCTCTCTGTTCTGTATCCAAAGCACACATTTTATTCCACACAGAAATCATGCTTATACAACTAACAAATTTCTCATGGCTCATCTGTTTCCATCTTTGCTTCTCTATTCTATTTTGATTAATAGTTTGTCCTTTTCTGACATTGTACAACATAAGCATTTGTATTAGCTCTGTGTATGGCTATACGATAAGCATATTTTATTGGTATTTATTCTTCCGTGTTCATATACAAAGTAGTTAAATAAATGAAGAACTCGAGAATTTATTGTTGACATTCATATTTTAACATGACACCTCTCACAAATAAATTACCTGAATTCACTTTTATGTTAATAAATTGAGTTTAATGAAGGAATTTTTCCCTAAGCTTCTGAAGGCATAATGAGTATTTCTTTAATTATAGAATTCTGTGATTCTTCTACACTTTGAGACTAAAATACTATCCATGAGGTGTTTTCCCCACATAATAATTAAGTGAAATTAGAAAACCCATTATATTTTCCATCTACTCTTATATATACATTATGAACATTGAATTATGCACAGCTTGTTATTTGCAGAACCTTTTAATTTGTTGTGTTGTTTTACTTATCTCATTACCTTAATTTTAATACAGTTGAAGATGTTCAAGCAGTGAACTGCTCTATCAAAACATATTTAGTAGTAATCCAGATTTAAATGGAAGATAATAAGATTATTTAATGTACTGTTACTCATAGAATTATGGTCTCTTTTGTTTTGAATAATATTTTTAAATGTCTTGTATGCACTCAAAAATCTGTTATGCAGGAGCATAACATCAGAACTACTAATACAGATCATGAAATAGTAAAAATGCAGTTAAAACAAAAAAGAGACTGTGATTAATGCTATTGTGTATCCAACCCAAATTTAAGTGTCTTTTGGATGAATGTTAATAGTAACAATGGGAATAAAGATAAAAAATGAAATTAAGAAACTGCTTGATTTTTTTTTGTCTATGCATAGCTTCTCACAAATAACTATATACATGAGAAACTTGGCAGCCCTTTGCACACACATGCTGTTTTGAATTTAGCTAGTGAAACAGTCACCACCCATATTGCTTTGAACATTTGGACAGAGATAACACAGAGTAAATAAAAGCTCAGACTCTGCCAGCCTTGCTTACCTTACTCCTCAAGCACTCTAATTACTTTCCTTGCGTAAAGTCTTCATCAGAACAAAACAAATACAGAATCTTGCCATAGCCCTGCTATTGCTAACTGCAAAATTGATTGAAGTACATTTGTGTATTCAGTCAAAACTGCTTCGTGCGTATCTGAAAATGAAGTTGCTTCATTTCTGTTAGATCAATTCTGCCATAGCCCTGCTTTTGCTAACTGCAAAATTGAGTGAAGCAGATTTGTGTATTCAGTCAAACCTGCTTCGTGCGATATCTGAAAATGAAGTTGCTTCATTTCTGTTAGATCAATTGGCAGAGGAATTTCCAGCTATAATCTTTTTTCCTTAGTTTCCTAGGCTATGTGTTTTGAAAAAGGTGTTTTGATGGCTTCCTTAAAAAAGCTGCAAGAATGAAAACAGAAGACAATTCAAACAAACAAACAAACAAAACCAAACAGAAATAGAGATATGAAGTGAAACATGGCCTTGTTGTGATCAGTAGCATAATTCTACTTTGACCTTAAAGCATCACAGCGGAGCTTTCAGCTCATCTTGGGCTTAACTTGGGCTGCAATTTAAACATGTTTCTGGACACCTTAAGGCTTTTGGTGCATTCAGCTTTGTATTTCTGTGTGACACCAGCCTCATCCTTTCCACAAAGCTATGTGAGGTGCCATCCAAACAGCAGCTTCCAGGGCCACTTAAGATTCCCAGGTCCTGGCTAGCACTTCACAGTGTTATGCCACTTTCCCTTGGCTGTAGGTCACTGAAAGCTAGGAAATACATCACAAAGAATCTTTTTTGTTTTTGTTGTTCTGGACGTCTACTATTGGTCACTGTTCTTTGTCCTTCTGTATTTTATTTTTTTAAACACATTTATTTCCAGATATACAAAAGAATTTATGAGATATAATTTCTCCTTTCTGCCGTTTCTTCCTTTTTATCTATACTTTTGATGTGCAAAATGTTGTTCCATCTTAGCAAGATTCCACAAAGGTGTCCAGACAATGCATGTTCATATAGCTGTAGACAGAGACCAGGTAGCACTTGTCCTCCATTTTCATTTCACTTTTACCATCCCTTCTTTCTCTGCTAAGGAAATCCTGCTAAGGGAGGTTTGGGGGTCCAGAAGTAGGACTAGCTCTTGCAAGAGCTAGAAATTGAGGCTGGAGCTCCTTTGATCCGTCCCAGTGTGATTGTTCTTGCACTTGGGCCAGTTATGTGACACAGAAGGGTCATGTTATGGGAAGAATTTGTCTTTCCATAGTAGTGGCTTGGTGTTACATATTTACATTTTTGTGATTACTATCTCTGCTCTATGGGATAGATGCTCTAATCTTGATGCCATTTGAATGAAAAAAATGTATTTGGGCTACTGGATTGATGAATTCAGATGCAGTGTACTGAATGGTAGATTTTGATCTTTGTGTAGGTAGTAAAAGAATGTTATTCAAAGAAATTTCCTCTTGTTTGTTTCAAAAGTCACTTATTAAAACCACAACTAATTCTCCCTGAAACTTGGAGAGATGCTGAGACTTGTAAAAAGAATAATATCTTTTAAGGGCTCCCATTGGGAAAATCTGTTATGAAATGTTAAGATATTAATATTTGTTGTGATATGAAATGTTCAACTATAAATATATTATTTAAAGCCAATCTCAAAGAGATGAAGTCTGAGAAGCTAAGAAAAAAAATGACCCTGCTCTCATTATTTCTGTCCAACTCATTTGATCAGTCCAATCTTTTGCACCTGGTTTCAAATAATTTGTAATTGCAGCCAGTTAGATGAGTAATGCCCTGCTCCAGGTGCCTCCAGTAAGATACCTATGCAAAGTATCAAAATGAGTTGAAATCCTTGTGCCCACAGTGCCTGCTCTTTCAACTTGAGACTTGTAAGCTTTTACGCCATCTGCCTCCCTCAGCCCGTTCCTCAGCCAAGTTGTTTATCTCAATTAAGGTTGTCTCATGTTTCCAACAGACACCAAGGGAAAGAAGTAGTCACTGACACGGCATCTTCTCGGGTATGTTGACTTTGATTGACAGGGCTTTAAAGCACTTGTCTAATATAAATTTTGGTTGGTTCTTTCTTACAGGAATACTGAATTAGATTTGAGATTTAAGAAATATAATTTCAGAGCCTGTGCTGAGGAAAAAAGTTCCAGCCATGAAAGTGCTTTTATGCTAGAATATACTTGGCTTGTGAGCCCTAGCTTGAAGAGGAACGTGCATTTCTTATCTTCAGGTTAATTTAACTATTCAGTTTTTCAGTTGTACCAGATCTTCTCTGTCATCCTGTGCATATTCCTATCTCAAAAACTGAAATTATAGCACAGCTAAAAATCCAGAGTTACAAAGATAAATGAGTGAATAAGGAACCTGGACATGCAGGAAATTATGTGCTTTTAAATAAGGCAGAGAAGGAAAGAGGCAAGAGAAAATCTACTAAAGCTCCTACAGACAGCCAAGCCTGGAGACCTTCGGAGGGCAGAGCACGCAGGCAGGGGGTAGTGGTGCCTCTGCTGAGCCTGGGACTGCAGCCCTGCAAGGCGTTTCCCGATTCAGCAGTCTTTTAAGATAACCACCTCGCCTGCATAATTATTTTTTGCCACTTCGGAATCTCTTTCATTTCTCTGCCTCCTCCTTTCCGTGTCTCAGACCATCCCTCTCGTTTCCAGTCTCATGTTGTCCTTCCCTATCGGCGATTCTCTGCTCGCATCTTCCCTGCTCTGCTCTCCCATCCCATTTTCTCCTTTGCTCTTTCTCTCCCTATTCGTCACTCTCTTCCCATTCCTCCCAGCCCACCATCGTCGAAGGAGACAGCCCCCCTCCCTGCTCCTGAAAGCCGGGTCGTGGTCTGGCATGAGAAACCCTTCCTCGCTCCTGGACGGAGAACTGAGGCGGTCGGGCTCTGGCACCTCTGCGCTTCTCACAGCTGGGACTGAGAACAGATGTCGCTTCCGTTGCCAGCTGAGGGCAGATGAGCGGCAGCCGCCCGGAGGGACGGACCTCCTGCGCGGCAGCTGCGCGGACCCGCGCTCCACGCTGCCTGTTAGCTGGAGCAGGGCTGCACGCAGAGCGCTCCCACCAACGGGGAGACCGGCTGCTCCGAGGCCAGGCCCACCCCGAGCAGCCGCGCTCGGGTCTTGAAAGCCAGCACCTAGTCAGAGAGCCAGATCTGACAGAGCCTGGAAAAGGAAAATAAAACAAAAAGGAAGAAAAGAAGCAGAATCCAGGTAGAGCTTGCAGTGCTAACAATTGGGAGAAGCATGGTTTTACTTACAAAGCAGTGGCGTTGCCAGGAGTTAATCAGAGACGAACAGCAAGGAACCCCACGGGGCTGTGTTAAGTGGTTCCTTTGCACAGCAAAAGCGCAGTCCAATTCTGAGCCTACTGAAGTCAGTGGGATGGCGAGAGCCTCACAGCGCTCTCAGCATCTCCTCCCGCCAGCCATCTCCCGCTAACTTCACACGTAACCCTGACAGTTCTCCTCTTTTTCTAACATACATATATATATATATATGCATATGTATATATGCATTAGTTGTGCTGCAGTCTGACATGTGTATTTATGCTGTGCTCAGTTCCTTTGCTGTTCAGTGGGAGAACCTTATGGTCTTGATTAATCCCAACTACATTTTGGAGCTTAGTTGCGACTCCAAACTAGGCCCCCTCAGGCCTATGGAAATGGGACTATGGGGCACTTCTGAAGGGCAATTCAGAGCTTAACAGCTCTCTTTGAGGTTCCTCTACATCCAGTGACAGCAGGGGTGAGCCCAAGGGGATGGTCTTTCGGTTGGTTGAAGTTGGAAAGCAAAGCTAGAAAAAGGAGGGGTCTTCGCTCTTCTGGAGAGTGCTTTTCTGCTCTCCTCTGTGTGTTAGCGCCGAGGCTCACGCTGCTGTGAAACCAGTTGGTTGAGGAAACGGAAAAAGTGATGAGTGGCTGGAAAAGCTTCCAGCTGAGTTCCCAGGTGGGGACGGCTCTATGAGGAGGCCGTAGCTATCCCCTTGCGGAGGGACAGGCTGGATGTAGACCTGTGGCCTGGCAGGCGCCTGGCAGCCTCCATGACCACTGAGCTGTGCCCTCAGGGGCTGGACTGGGAGCTCTGCCATCTTGCAGGGCTGTCGAGGAGCAGGACGGGGCGGGTCAGCCACTGAGCTGCACCTTGGGGCACAAGTTATGGGTGAGCGTGGGTGTGAGCAGAGCAAGGGATGGTTGGGGCTTGTCATGCGGCCCTGCTCTCCATCCCTCCCACAGGGGCTTGCAGGCATAGCCTGCGGCTGTGCCTTGGGACACGCCAGCCTGTAAGCGACATGGGGTGAACCTCAGCCCAAGGCAGCTGGTCAGGATACAGAGAGGGAGGAAGGAAACCAAACTTCTCTACCGAATTCGGCTTAGAGATTCCTCGCACTCGATAAAGGACGTGTTCTTTCGGATAGTATTTCAATGGAAGTTGCCCCACTAAAAAGGGGGATTACTTCTTATGCTTTTTTCTCTTGTTGTTTTTTTTAAAGCAACTAACTCCCATATTTAGTCCTGCTTTCCACAGCGCACCTTGGGGTAGGCAGCTCTACAGAGAGAGGAGGAAACAAGATTTAGCCAAGACTCTGCAATGTCAGGACTTGGCTACTTAGTGCAGAAGAAGAGAAATTAGAGTGGCAGCAATGCACCCTCTGGCGGCTTCCTTAAACAATTTCCAAAAAAAATCTTGCTAAAGTTAACTGAAAGACAGGAAGATCTGGTGTTTTGCTTCCAGACTTCACTGACTCCCAGCAGTGAAGCTAGGGCCTAAGGCCTCTGCAGCCACCAACCCACTTCAGCCACAGCCACCACCGAGCATCTCACCACAAAGTTTGACACATTCCGTATGGAGGAGGCTGGAAAATGCGCTCAGGCCATGGGTTAGTGGGAAGAAGCACGTCATGCTCAGCCAACAGGCTGCGTGGGTGGAGAAAGGCAAAGCTCTGCCTGTTATCTGCTGTGAGGACTCCTGCCAACCTGCGCCTGCCCCGGGCTGTGTGTGCGGTCACTCATGGGGGGATTCGCAGCCCTTTTTCATTCCTCGGAAAACACGCCCTGATCGTTTGGTTTAGGCTTCTGGAAAGCCCTAAAACACAGCCCAAGTGGGCAAATGCTGACCAATTCTGAGCTGAAATGATGAAACTTCAACTGTGTTTATTTTTTCTAAATGAAAAATTACACTTTAATAAAAATATCAATGGTTTCTTCTTTATTGTTGTTATTTTTTGTGTCTGTAGTCAATTTTGATGAGAGCCTTATAAGCATGAGAAGAATTTTGGGAAACAGCTGTCCTGCCCTATGATGAATATGGTAAGTCACTCCAGTGAGAAATGCTGAATGACTGGCGGGAACTAAGGATTTTGTAGTGCCATGACGTCAGGGGAAAAGGTCAGCTCATGTTAAATTAGCCTCGTACACAAGCAAAAACAAAAGCACCTTTGAAAAGGAAGTAAAATGGGAAATAATATCTCAGTAAGAACTGACATCCCTGACACTCAGTGAGCGCAATAAAATGATTATCATAAAGAAGTTGCCTTTAGCAGGAACCCAGTAAGTCAGGTTCTTACTAAGTAGTAAGTACTAAAGAAAGTAAGAACTGAATCAGATGAATCCTTAGAGGAATTTTTAGGTGTAAAACACAACGAGTTAAGTACTCAAAATAGAAGAAATCACACTTATTGCAGAAAACTGTACTGCAAATATTAAGGCTTTGTAAGTAAAAAACCTCTCTGTTCAGTAGTTCTTTCATGCCCTCTACAGTTAAAACTCCGCTTTGCGCCTGTGCAGTCACATTGTGTTTTCCGGTGTTGGGAAATGTACTACCTAGGGTTAATGGAAATCAGTAGAGCAGTAAATACTGTTGGAAAAAGTTTGGTTGCCTTTAGGCTAGGTTGTGGCTTTTATTGCTCAGATGCACAACCGACAAGCAGCAGATGATCCTGAGTTGGGTTCTCACGGTGGTTAGAGCTGATAGGAATAGCTGAGAGAGCAGTCAGAAGTAGAGGAGCCTTCCTGCGTGAAACCTTCACTGGTGCAGGCCAAGGCTTCACTGTGTACAGGCAATCGTCTGCAGACAAGCTTGAGTTTTCTTGCCTATTCGCTGTCAGGTTGAAGTTATGTATGGATAACTGTATGAACTGTTTTGAAACTATCAATTGCAAATGTTTATGAGTTTCAAAATGACAAGAAACCATTTTCTTTTACCGCATCATTTATAAAGTGTTGATCAGTGAGTATATAGCATGTGAACACATAAAATGATTCATCCTACACAAAATCTGTTAAAAAAAAAAAGGCACATGGGAAAAGGTGTGATTTCAAGATCAGTTATCAACTGACTGCACCTTGAGTATATTCAACCAATTTCAAATAGATACCTAATTTCTGGACATGTAAAATTGCATGTAGTTGATCATATCCCTTTTGCTTACATTCAGAGACAAATATATGAGAGTGCATAAAAAATTCATTATATGGAAAAAAAAAAAAAGGTCATTTAGATGAAAATAAAAATTATAAATTCCTGTCTTGTAGTTCCTTCTCTGGCAAAGCATTTTAATATTCACAGAGCTTGGACTATGTGAGATTCATTTTACACACAAATGCCTCGTGTGTGAAATTCAAAGCTATATTGGAAGGTAGCCTGACAAATACATTTCTTCCTTTGTTTCTGCAGTGCCACAGAGGA